TAAAAATATTCAGTTTTGCTTGGGTATAATTGGTATGTCAAATGGTATATCTGTCTCACTTCCAACTTGTCCAAAGCACCTAAATCAGTGTAGCAACATCATTTTGGAAGTTTCAAAGTATAAATGTGACCCTGGCTCCTGCAGGTATCCCAGAATTGAATGAAGTTTAATGCCGTATGTAACTGAATGGGTTTTAATGTTTGTATAACACTGAGCCTCAGCAAGCAAGACAGGACAGTTTGGGACAAGACGTGTTTGTTTTACTGCTGTTGTCTTCAGGCTTTCAACTCCTACCCCACCTGTTCTCCTGTTCACCTTATCAGTAACACAGTCCTTTCTCCCCCTACAGCTAGCCAGGCACCAGACTCTCCTGATTCTGCCTCTCAGCATTTTATCTCATCAGTTTCGCTGGTACCAGGAATCTGATTGTTGTTACTGCCCCCAGTCCCTTTTCTTAAACTCCTTCAGGGCTCCATTTATCTTCTAGTAAATCCAAATGGCTGCAGGAAAAACTCCTCTAGGACTTGAGAGTCACCTGCCTGTCTGTCTTCATCGTTCACTGTTCCCCCTTCTCATTCTCTGAGTACCAACCCTAATGAGCCACCTGCAACTCTTTGAAAACTCAAAAGTAAACATGCCTCTGTGCATTTACACCTGTCCTTTGATTTGCATGAAATACCTTGCATGTTCTTTATCCTGTTGCATTTATATTTCTTCATGTCTACAGGAGTTCATAAGGGCAAAATCCATTTCTTCACCCTCTATATTTTAGTTCTTAACAGAGCCTCTTAGATGGATGCTGAGCAAATCCTGCAGGGTTCTTTGAGTGAGTGGGAACAAATCAGATCCTGATTGGTGTTCCTGGTTATCTTCTTGGTGCCAATTTAATCTAAAAGGTTTCCTTCCTTTCCCTCTTCCCCTCTCCTTTAACCACCCTACACACCTCTTTCTAAGGAATCTACCTGAGTCTGTCTTGGTCGAAACCCTCAGTGGCTTATATTTCCTGCAGAATCCATTTCTTGCTCCATATCATTTCCACCCTCTAGTGGTCAATCTTCAATCTACCTTTCCACTTGGATTTCTCAGGTTTTTCCTTGCCCACTCCAGACTTTAAACTAGGCTCTCTCTGCTCTTTTATCCCACATTGTAGCATATCACCTCTCTGGTTGTGTTCATACCATTCTCGAAGCCAGGTATTTCTTTGCCCCAGTCAGTGCCGTGTGAATTAACAGTCAAAACATTCTATAATCAGAATTTAGAATTAATTAATTTTCCATTCTGTATCTTTATTTTTTCCTCCATGAAGATATGTGTCACATTTTGCTTTTTATTATAGCTTTTGGTTTTTGCTTTACTTTTGCATGTCTTTATTTTAATAGATTATGAACTCATTGAGATAGGAGCTGAATTAGTTCAACCTTGAAAATCATAGGCAAGCCAGCTCTGTTCCTGGTCCCATCCAATAGTTATAGAGGGAAGATATATTTGGCAGACCTTGATTTGAATCCCTGAAATGCCACAAACAGTTGTAATCTCCATCAGTTCTTTCTCCCAGTTTCCCAGTTTATAATAGGAAGATAATAATACCCAATTTAAAACACGCTTATGCAAATTAGATGAAATAATGTAATATATAGCTTAAAACAATGACCCCTGGCAGAAATGCGATAAATGATTCTTATTACTTCTACTACTCTTACTATAAATATGGAATATTGGAGAATGATATTGTTTTGTTTGAGTTCTTAGTATTAATTACTTTCATTTAATTGAGTGACTGTAGCTAGAAATTAACCTTTAGCTTTGTTGTTAAACATAAACCCTTTTTATTATCTTACAATCTTCTATTGTTACTTAATTCTGGTATTGAGACATTCTGTGGGCAAAAAGCATTGCTTGCTTCTTCAGTTTTTCCAACAGAGGGCCCAATTGCTGCCAGCATCTGTGAAAAGAAGAATTATACAAACTTTAAATCCTCTTTATCCCATCTTTCCCCATGCCATTTTGCAGTAGAGTCTATGAATTGGATTTCCCATCATTAGAGTTATTAAACCCTGCTTTGTGGTGTTGGAGGAGACACTGGAGCAAGAGAGGGGCTTCTTTGTCCTGGAAGGTATCTTAACACATCTTATTCTCCCACTTTGGTTAACTTTTGGTGTGCTCTTTCAGAACCTGGACAGGTGGTGGAGTCAGAATACATAATCCATGCACCAAAGAAATGGCTAAAATTAAAGTTAATCAAAGAGAAGGACATCTAATTATATTATGCATTTATAAATTGTTAGGCAAGATGTTGTCCAGATCATTCTTTGAATAACATGATCATACTCATTATCAATTAGTGTTTCTCCAGTTTGAAATTATGGAAGATTATTCAGTGTGAGGAAATTCCTGTCTTGTTTCTCCTTTCCCAGTTGAAATAATAAAGAAAGAAATAGCAATGGAAATCAAGTTAGACCCCGATCTGGCAGGTGAATGACATGTTGCCAGAGACCAAAATACCAAAAGAGAGAGGATCAGTGTCAGTTTTGCCGGTAATATTGATGGCGATAATGGTGATGGGCATAGAAAGCATGTACTAGGCAAATTGTCAGGCAGAATGTGAAACAGTGTTTTTTTTTTTTTTAATTTTATGCAGTTTTCTTAAAGATCCCTATGAAGCGAGTATTACCATTTTTATGTTTTCTAGATGAATAAACTACTTCAATAGGGAGTCTTATCCAATGTCACATAGCTTATGAAAGGAGCAGGACTTAAGCTGATGTTGACCTAACCCATAGCCAGTCCTCTTCATCTCAGTCCTCTCTGGAGGTGAGAGTGAGTCTTACAAGACCTTTTCTCTAGAGAGTGAAGAAATCATCCACCAACCTGACCTGGAGTTTTCAATGAAGGGGATTTACAGATTGACAAGGGAAAACCCTTTGCTATAAATCTGTTATTAGAGTAACCCCATTATAAGCTTCAATAGGAAAGGGAGGAAGAGAAAATATATGATTCTGATGCTGTGTTTCCTAAAGCCAATTCCTGGGGGGGCCACCTCTTTCAGCAATCTCACTCCAACAGATTGCAACTTTAGACTGCAAAGTCTAACTAGAGAATAACAGTGTGGTTACAACTGCTGTGTGTGCCTTTTGACCCTAGGTGGAGGAGGAGAAACATTGGGTTACTACTTAACATTTGAATGATAAAACCCCATCCAACAACTCAAGAGAAGTGAGGCTTCTAACAGACCTGAAGCTTTGTCTATTAGATATAGATGTTAAATGAGTTTGACCTGTAACAATTTTACTTTTAGCTTATCCCTTAGCACCTACAGCCTGTCATTATTAGTTATTCAATTAATATCCCATTAGACAGGTTCTCTAAGAGTTAGCAAAATCATTGCCCCAAAGAATACACATACTCATAAAGTACTAAATGGCCTTATTGATATGGTTCTTCCCCCAAAAAAACAGAACAAGAAATTTAAAACTCTCTCTCACACACACAAACTCCCCCCCAGTGAAACTCAATGTTACCATTGGAATAGATTTCCCATACCATATCTATCTATCTATCTATCTATCTATCTATATATCTCAGAAACAATACATTTTATTGATTCTAAGATATTTTCACATTGTAACATGTTTGAAATAGAAATTCTTCTTACTCAGGGACCTATTACAAATATATACAGTTATGAAATGGTGGTAATGCATAATATCCCATTTAAAACATAGGAGGGAAGAAGTCATTTCTTCTTAAATCTTTATGGCTTTGGATCTCATGCAGTAAAACTCAGAATTGTCCCACAGACTACACGGCTCACTGTGATCCAATCCAATCACCTACCACCTGTCTGACCCGTCTTGAGTCTCCCCTGTTCCTTCTCACTGTGCTGAAGCTGTACTGGTCGCCTTGTTCTAGAAGAACCAGTCATGCTTCCACCTGAGGTCAACTGCCTTCTTGATTTCTCTGCCAGGATCTCTTTCCCATTTAGAATGCCATGGTTCACTCACATGTCTCCTTAGAAATTTACTCAAATGTTGATTTCTTATTCTGGTTTTCTTTGGTCACCTTATCTGAAGTTTGAGTAACATTTTCTATCGAGTTTTTTTGTTTCATTTATCTCTTTAGCTTGCATTACTGGCTGATAGTTAATATTTTATATTGCTTATAGATTCTCTCTCCCCAGCAGAGTGAGTATAAGCTCTACTAAAGCAGGGATTTTTGTCTATTATCTTCAGTACTCATTTTCCAGGTCCTAGATGAATGCTTGGTACAGTCAGGAAGCTATACATATATACACAGTCACACACACACACACACACACACATATATAAACAATATGAATAAAATATATAAGTATGTAAAATATATTAGTCTGCCACATATAAAGAATAAGTCAGTGGACTGCATGCTTAGTTTAGTAGGTAAGATAGGGAGGGGTGTAATTACCACACTAAACCTTCCTAATGGACCTTAGATTTGGGGTCCAGCATCTTGAGATATAAACCTGTCTCTGTTGCCAGTTATCTGAGTAAAATTGTTCAAGTTAATCCCTGGGCCTCCAGGCTGGACAACATGATCTATGTGAATGCTATAACATGTCAGTTAATTGAGCTTTCTTAAAAGCAATTGAAGACTGGGAAGATAAATGAATGAAACTACATCTTTTAACAAATAATTATTGTCACAATAATAATAATTATTGTCACCCTAATGAGAATGTTAGTATAAAAGAATTTTGAAATAATTTGTTGTTCAATTTCCTTCTTTTCGTAAATAGTGAAACTGAAGCCCAGGGTTGAAAGATTTACCAAGATTAAGTGCTACTCAATGGCCCTGACCAAATTCAGTGTTCTTTTTACTTTAACTAATACATGTGATAAATACTGGTAGCTTTTTAAAATGTTATTCTCAAGCTGTTTTGATATCATGTTCTACTTACATTCGATGAATTTACCTCATGGCAAGACTACATAGATCAATTTCTGTCTCTTTGTGGCTTACTTCAGCTTACAGAAGAGATTGGAAAACTTGAAGATAAAGTAGAATGTGCTAATAATGCCCTGAAAGCAGATTGGGAAAGATGGAAACTAAATATGCAAAATGATATCAAGTCAGCATTTACAGATATGGCTGAGGAGAATATCCACTATTATGAACAGGTAAGTGGTGCTACTTCATACTGCTTTTTTTTTTTCCATGCTGCTTTGTTTTTAAAGCATTATATTCTCTTTCACTCACTACTATCCTATGTTGAAAGAGTCAATTTTAAGATCCTGTTGTCCCATTGAAAAATTCCTTTGCCAACTCAGGTACAGTGGAGTTATTTGTTACCAGTTTGTTTTGTGTTTTTTTCTTGGTTTCTTACATTGGAAGGATTTGAAATCTTTGAAAACATTTGGTAATGCTTCCTGGTGACTCACCTGTCTCATTCTCCTCCCTTTCTCTTTCTCTTTCCTATATTGTAAAGTGCAGAAGGAAAAGGACAGAGATTGGATAAGCAGAAAATCGATTCAGGGCCTATACCTTTAACCCTATATCCCTGCTATCTCTAGCTTAGATAGCTGCTCAAAACTCAACCACAAAGGAGTGTACTATTCTATTAGTGAAAGAGAAACAGTTTTTGAGGGGTTAAGTGGTGATACTTCATACTGTTTTTTTTTTTCCATGCTGCTTTGTTTTTAAAGCATTATATTCTCTTCTACTCTTTACTATCCTGGGTTGAAAGAACCAATTTAAATTCTTTTAAATTCTTAAGTCATCATTTTAAAATTCTTATCATTTTTCTTTCCAAACAATTATTTTTCGTTTTATAACTCTTTCTCAAATGAATTTTATAATACTGTTGCTTTTCTCTACCCTGCATATTCTAAACATTCTTCTTTAAATATTCTTATTTTAAATATATGTCTTTAACCTTATTTCTTGGTGAATTAATAAATACATGAAATTGATAAATTAAGGAAATTATATTTTAGTCTGGAGTGATTTTCAGTATAAGGTATTTTAAATTGAAATGTTCATTTTGAAAGATTAACTGATATTTTCATATTAACAAGAAGAGTTAACTGGGTACTTCCTATCCCCTCCTGCCCACCTGTGTGGGCACCTGGAGTATACAAGGCAAACACAATTGCAATTATTTCTCATGTAGTTGTAGTCAAATATGGAAAAAGTTAATGAAAAAAAGAGATCATGTTACAGTAGTATAAATTTCAGTGTAGAAAGTAATTGCAGAGGCATCTCACCTAATGTAAAAGGAATAAGGAAGTTGCCTCGAAGAATGTTTAAACTGATACCCGAATGATGAGTAACAGGTTGCAAGACAGAAAGATGTGTGAAAGAGCACTGTAGAGCGGAAAAGAAATACAGACCAAAGCACAGAAGTGAGAGAGACTTATGTTCATGTAACTGAGGCTTATTTCTGGAGGAAGGAAATGTAGTGTTCAATTGAAAGATTAGGCTGAAGATGGCATCATGAATTTTTAGTCTTTTGTCATTCATTCTAAGGGAAATGGGAACCATTAAAGAGTTTCCAGGAGGCAGGACTTGCCTTGTCCAGGGATCACTCTGGTTGTATGTGAATCGGGGTAAAGCAACACTGGCTGTGCTGAGCCTGTTTGGAGGAGGCTGCTGCAGCATCCCAGGCAGAGAAGTGAGCTGACCTGGGGTTTCATGGTAGTGCACAAGATGTTAGTGAACAGTGTCAAGGGATTTTTTTTTCATGGGTAGAATTAGAAAGATAATTTTCAATCTCTTTTTTTTTAGTTTTGTATTCTGCATTAAATTTAAGTATCTAAAGGAATTCCCATAAATCTCTGATTTTTGAGTGATTTAAAAATATTTCTCTTTTTATCAACATAGGGTTTTGTTATCACCTGTTTAAATCCTCAGTAGTAACTACCTCTCTTTTATGGTAAAACCTGCATA